TCCCTGTCAAACAATGAAAGACCAATCTCTTGAGGCAAAGCAGCAGAGGGCAGGCCTGCACATTTGGCAGTACAGGTGCTGGTGTCATAGCAATATCTGCACTGTGGGGAGAGAAGGGCCCTGAACTGCTCTGAATATGCTCAGGGCTGTTGAGCTGAAGCCAGGTGCATGTACCTCCCACGCCCACTACCCACCTGAGCAGTTGCAAAGCCTTTCCCAGTCCCCTGGCTACCTTGCAGCCCAGCTGTGAAGCAATTTCTGGCAGCTGATGCCTGGTCTGCTTGAGCACTGTTGGGTAGGCTGTGCTGTGGCCTCTGAAGAGCCAATTAGAAATGGGAGACAGGAGCAAACCATCGCAGGATGGAGCACCCTGCTCTGCAGGTGAGTTTGTGACAGGAGGGTTAATGAGGTGCCTGTGCTACCACACATGCCATGGGAGAAGCAGTTGGTTGCTGCTTGTTGTCCAGTGTGAGGACAAACTTTCTGGTGGGAGGTGGAGCTGGGATGGTCATGGGCTGCTTGCCCCCATTTTGGATCAGTTTGTAATGCTAAGAATGGAGGTTTTTAAAACCAGACTAGACAAAGCCTTGGCTGTGATATAGTTGTGGATGGTCCTGCTTTGAGCAGGGGGTTGGACTATATCAGCATTTCTTAACTCATGGGTCACAAAAATATATGAAAGGGTCACGAACAAACTTTAAAAATGGATTTTTTTAAAGGAGAAAAACATGGGAAACCATGGCTTTTCCCTTGCAGGCTGGCACAGTTCCAGCCTGCAAGGGGCTGGTTGGGGCTCCACATACTGTGGGGCTGGGGCCTGGGAATGGCCATCAGTTTTTACAAATGGGTCCTGGTACAGAAAAGGTTGAGAACCACTGGAATAGATGACCCCTGAGGTCCCTTCCAGCCCTCATTTTCTATGATTCTGATTGATACCCACCAGTGGGATGCAAGGACATGGGTAGTTTCACAGCCCCTAACCCTGATGCTACTGGCAGATTCTCTACCTTCCCCCACTGTGCCAGGGGACAGGAGCCTAGGAGTGGCTGAGTCCAAGCTGGCTGCCTTCTCTGGTGCCTGCTGGTTTCTGTTTTGGGGAAGGGTCCAAGATCCAGAGAGTTGGGGCACAGGCTCTGGCAAAATGAGATTCATCAGCCTCTAGCCCTGCCTCCCACATTGTCCCTGGCCAGAGTGCTTAGAAAGCTCAGCAGGGGCTTCCTAAAAATCTCAGTGCCTTTATTCAGCTAATGTACACTCTCATCTGTATTGCATCAATCTCAATGTCTGGCCTGTGCTGTCCATGTACTTAGGAGGGCCAGTGCTGGCTCCTGTATCCAGGTTCCATGTCTGAGCTTCCTTTCTGCTACTGAAGGTGCTGCAAGAGATGCCAATAAGTTAGACACTGGGTTTGTATTGGATAGTTTGTACAGGGATGATCGTGCCTGGTGCTGGAGGCTGGACTAGATGACCTCCATAGATCCCTTTCAGCCCTACTTTCCTCCAAGTCCATGAGAACAGAGGCACAAGGCTTTGGGGGTGAGCTTGAAGGGGTGGGGGTACTGGAGACAGGTCAGCCTTGACTGGAGTATCCTGTCCACCTTCAAGCTCACTGACTGCAGCAGGGAGCAGCCTGTGTTCATGTGCCTGTGCTTATGTCTAGCGAGTCCTAGAACTGAGGATTGTACCGGAGTTCAGGCAAGATTTTCAAAAATGTCCCTTTGTGTTCATGTGCATGGGTAGTTCCCTATGGTCCTGTGGGCACAAGTTGGGTCCAGTTTGGCAGGACCCATGCACTAGGCACAGCAGAATGTGGCTGTGGGCAATGCTGTCCTTGGCCTACAACATACCAGGCTGCTGCCACCCCAGGCTCAGGCTTTCCTCGTCTTCACCAAATAGCATCACCATGGGAACAGCAGTGCTCCAAAAGCCACAGCTGCAAGTGCCCCCTCCCCCAGTGACTCCCTGTTTCAAGGAGCTTCTGTCAAAGGAGACAGGGCTGGAGCAAGGAAGTGATCTGGGTCCCAAACAGGACAGTGACAGAGAAGGAAGTGGGCTACCAGCAGGTAGAGACCTTTTTTCCAGCACTGTCCTCTTGACACAACAGCATAGGTATTTAGGGACAAAGTCCATACCAACACTGTCTTGTTGCATATGGGTTTTGAAAGCCTTCCAGGGTCCCAGGCCAAGAAAAATGTCATAGCGGGTATAACATGAAGGAGTCGTGGGAAGGGGAAGCACAATGGTAAATTGCTGGCAAAAACGTATTATGGCCAGTCCTAGGAAGGATAAAATAAGATTTTTTATTTATAGTCTTATAGTAAGGGAAGCTTTAACTTGCAAGACACTCCTGGGCAGTATGTACAACATACGTCAGGTTCACAGAATGGCGGCAAAACCTGGACAGGGCCAACCTACACGGTGAATGCTACAGGGTCAAAAATGCCACAAACCAACTGGGAAGAGAGAAAACAAGAGGGACCACGATTCAGCCATGCTCTCACGCACTCACACACACAAGCACGCACGCACACACGCATGCCGTCACAGAGCGCAGGCCCAGTGCCCTTTCCTATCCCACTGGGACCTGGCCCCACCTGCCCCAGGGTGAAGCCAAGCTGCACTGAGCAGTACTGGGGAGCAAGGGGGATAGAGAAGGGATATTTACAGACAAAATAAAAACAGGGCTCTGCCTCAGGAAGGTGCAGAGATTTGATCATTATTTCATGGATCTGTTGCTTGGGAGCCCCTAGAACAGAGGTGGAGTGAATCTGGCCATACAGTTTTAAGAGCAGGAAATAAATAGCTAGTCACCACCACATGCCCCAGATTGGAAAACAGCACCTCTCCCACCCCAGCCCAGTGCTTTGTGGTGGGAGCCCAGATGCCTGGGTCTCAATGGGAGAGTGCAGTGACCTTCCTGAGGGCTAAGTGGCAGCCAGGTGGCACTAGGTGCTGCCATCCCTGCCCCCGTCAGCACAGACTCAAGGCAGGCCTGGCCTGGCCCTGTTGGTATAAATAGAAAGGCTTGTATAAAACAAGAGGCGTGACTTGCAGAGTAGGGCAAGAGAAGAGGAGGGGGCATCTCCTCAGAGCTGGGCGGTTCACAGATTCCAAGTCTCTCGTTGGCCTGGCCTGGGCTGGCCATCTGTTCGTCCAGGGGGCACAGGGCCCAGCCGGCCCCCTGGGGGCAGAGCTGCTGAGTAGGGCCGCTGTTGTGAGAGTGGCGGGGCAGAAAGCTGCAGTCCGAGAGCCTCTACGACAGAAGGGAGAGAGAGTCCTTCGAGAGCTGGCGGGTGGGCAGCACGGGGCCCCAGGGGTGGCAGGGCCATGCCAATGCCGTGGGGCCTCTAGCTGGCCTCCATGCGCAGCTTCTTCCGGCTCTGCAGCTCTTCAGGCTCTGACTCGGAGCTGGAGTCAGAACCGCCATCAAAGGCGGAGATGGTGCTGCCCTTAGGGTTGGTGTACAGGCTGCCGTCTGCTGCTGTATAGTTGGCCTGCAGCTGGGCACTCGACCGTGCCTTCTCCAGTGCCCGCACTGCAAGGCAAGAGGGCACAATGTCAGGGGGAGCACATAGTTTGCAGGGAGGGAAAATCTGGCTGTCTGCCCCTTGCTTCAAGTCAGCCAGCATGGCCTGAAGTCCAGCACAGCTGTGGTCTTGACTTGAGGTACCCCACCAGGCCACTGCTTGCATGCCCAGAGCCAGGGCAGGCAGAGAGGCTTTGAGAGCCCCAGCTAATGCCACCTCATTTGCTTAGACTATTTCTGCTCTGCCACAAGGGTGCCCCAGACACTGTAATATGCAGACAAGCCTGTCAACACCCTCAAAGCTTATGGATTTCAGGTTTCTTAAGGAGCTGACTAGCTGGTCATATGCTGGGTGCTAGGATAACAGGTTCTCCTCCCCCATCCACCCCAGAGGGGCCTTCCTCGGGCAACTGACAGCAGCAGGTTTGAACCCAGGATGGGCTTCCCAGGGTGAGCACTCTAACAGGCAGCCACATGGAGCTCTGATGCCTATGGCCTAGACCACGGCTATCCAATTTCAGAGCAATATGGGGGCTGCATGCTGCAGTAGTCACAGACCCCAGGCCACACCCTGCAGGGGCTCCCCTGGGACTCCTGCCACATAAGCAGTGCTACCTCCCTGCACCCCAGCCACATAAGCCCCCTGCCACCATGGACAGCTCAAGTCTCCACCCTCCCCCACATGAATGGGGAGCTCATCAGCCCACCCCACTATGCTGTCCTGCCCTAGCAGGAACAATGAGGGTAGTGGCAGCCAGGTGGGAGCCCACAGGCCATATGATAACCTCTTACAAGCTGGATGCCAACCACAAGCTGCCAGTTGGACAGCCCTGGGCTGGATCCAAGACCCCCATCCCTGCCCTGCTCACCTTGCTGCTCCAACAAGGCGTTTTGGCGCTTGAGGTCATCAATATCCTGCTGGTGGGTGTGGTTTTTCCGGCGCATGTACTGGATGTACTCTGTGGCTTTGTCAAGGATCTGGGCCCGGGATGCCTGTTGCAATAGTAAGAAAAGCACACACGGGCCAAATAAAGACCTCGTTCTCATAAGGGGTCTGAGGGACTAGCATACCCACCCTGATCCCAGCTGCGTTGGGGAGATGGGCTGTGGAGCCAGGTGAGCCAGGGGGAGGTGTGCTCCCCACACAGAATATAGGACAGACTGGCCATGAGTTTGGGGCCCCTGGTCCTGGGGACAGACGTGATCAACACAGCTGCTTCAGCCATGGCAAGCTTCCTGAGCATTGCAGAGAGCTTGAGCCTGTTCCTGGAGATGGGAGTGCCACCCCCAAATATCACTATAAAGTGTTCACCCTGGAGCCTAATGACAAGGTACATGACCTCAAATCCTGTTCAGTTTGTGCTGGGCAGGAAGGGCCTTGGGGCTAGGGAAGAGGACAGCAACCAAGTTTAGACAGGACAAGAAAGAGCGGTCTCCTCCAAGAGGTAAGCTCTGCTCAGCACCTATAGCAGAACAGATGCTCTGCCCTGACTGATACAGGCCAGCGAGACTGGCCTGTATCATCAGGGCAGAGCATCTCCTCTGCTGCTGTAGGTTCTGGTTGGCTGTGGGTATAGGTTAGCCAGCCCTACAGCACTGCCAGAGCCAAACCTGTGACCCTGAGTAGTGAGAAGCACGGGAGTACTAAAAGGCCCTCTAATCCTGCAAGGAAAGGTGGAAGAGGCCATGGGCTCCAGTGGGACCAGGAACATTCTTGTTGCCAACTGAAGCCAGACTTGAGCTGAAGAACTCAGTGCCTTGCCCACAGCACAACCATAGCCACCCAGACGGCTCCAAGCCTGGATACTTCCCTGGAAGAGACAAGTTAGACAAGCATCTGGGCTGGGTGCTTCGATGCCAAGGACAGCTGGGCTGTTTGGAGGGTCTGAGGAGAAGGGTGACACTATGGTGGCAGTTACAGGCTTCACAGGCTTGATGCTTGCTAGTACCAGCTGGGGCTCAGGGGTCTCTTCCCTTACACAATAATCTGGCATCAGCATCACCTGCCCAGACGAATAGGTAACAGGTCTGGATACATGAGAACCCAGGGCTGGGAGCATGAGCAACACCACCTCACCAGCATCTGAGAAAGAAAAGGTGACACCCAGCTGGATAGGCAGGTGGAAACAGGAAGAAGATCCTATGTGTCACCAGGCCTGCTCCCCTGGCAGGACACAGGATACCAGCCCAAACCCCTATACGCTGTTTGCTGGCCTAGAAAGCAGGGAGATGAGGTAGCATAGACTAGGAGTCAGCAATTTATAGTCCTCAGGCTCGATTTAGCCCATGGAGCTATGGCTTCAATGGCAGGGGATTCTGCCCATGCACACTGCAGTCAAGCAGCAGGGACTGGGGGAAGGAGGAGCTCTGCCTGTGCTGATCCACAGCCAAGCAGCAGGGAGAAGTAGCAGAGGCAGCTGGGTCCTAATGCTTGCCTCTGTCAGAGATAAGCTGGGTCACTCCAACACCCCAGTGGAAAATATTTTTGACCCCTGCCCTGGACAGGCTGACCTAGTGCAGCAACAACAGCACCACTGGACTCAGAAGCTTACATCCCAGACCCACTCAGGCTAAGGGATGGGAGGGAGCCCATTAAGGGATGAAGCAGGGGGCCATGCTCATGCAAGATCTCCAGTGCCTGCATCAGAGGCACTGGATGCTGGCACTGACTGGATGCTGCCTAGATGCTAGCACTGACTTTGCCCTCTCAACTGGAGCAGAGTCAGTGCCAGCAGCAAGTCTTAGGTCTGGTCTCCCTTGCCAAGTTTTGCCAGCATAGCTACCATGCATGAAGGACCAAACTAATTCCCCCTCCATGCTATGAGGTGCATGCTTTCTTCATTCAACTTGCATCACTTTGTCCCTCCTGGCTCTGGCAGCTGCAGGGACCAAACAGTGGTGATCACCACAGCTGCTTCAGCCATGGCTGGCTTCCTAAGCATGCAGAGAGCCTGAACCCGTTACTCAGAGATGGGAGTACCACCCCCAAATATCACTATAAAGTGTTCACCCTGAAGCCTAATGACAAGATACAACAGCCTCATTTAGGGCCTGTTGTCCACCACTGCTTCTCATTCTGCTCTCAGCTGGGCTGGGGGATTGGTCACAACCCAACTACCCTGACTACCAGGCCTGAGTACCTGTATCAGGGTCCCCTCACTTGTTACAGCTGATAGGGAAGTGAGGACATGGGTTTGCTTTCTGCACACACATAGATGGGGAAACACCAAGGAGGGAGAAGGCTCTTCAAGCTAGCAGTTCCCAAATGGAGAGTCTCAGGGATCCAGGTGCCCTGAGGAAGGGGACCTGCTGATCTCATGCTGGCAAAAAGCAGGCGGGGATGAACTGGTCACAAATACATGGAGGTTGGATATTAGGTCTCTTAACAAAGAAAAACTTGACAATGCAGTGCAGGCACCCAACTGTCTTGGAGACAGAGCCAGACTGGCTCACAAAGGGGCTGCAGCTGATGACCTAGGAGGCCCCCTCGAGCATCTGCCCTTCCTGTCTTGATGTTTCACACTGCTGCCTAGACGATGTGCCAGTCTAGTAGTTTGCTTTGAAGGGGCTTGGGCTCACTGGGTGGCACTGAACTAGAACCAGTTCTGGGACAGAAAAGGCAACACCACTGTGGGGTTTAGCCAAAGCCAAACCTGAGCAATGCAGCAAATGCTAAAGGATTAAATCTAGCCACAAAACCATGGCCAAAGTTGGTCCCCAACGCAAAGCAGTGAGGAGGAAGAGCCTGCTACTGCCTCTGTAGATGCTCAGCTGTCTGGGAGGTGAGGGTGAGGGTCAAGCCACACCCAAGGACATGACAGGTTCAGCTGTATGTGCCGTTTGGTTACCAGCCTCAAATACTGACAAGAGACCCCAGCAGCTGGAGAGAGGGCAAGGCCTTCCTGCTCGGAGCTTGACATTAACCTGGGGTGGCCCTGGTATGGCACTGACACAAGAAGACAGGGAATGTCTGAGCAGTTCCTGGCATGTAACTGAAGCTAAGCTTGGCACTGACTGATCCTACATTCAGTGGACTGGGGGGATGAGGATGATGCCTGCCTGAGGGCTTGGTTACACAAGACAAGGTGTGAGGAGTGGCAGGGATCAGCTGGAGAAAGGCAGGGTCATCGTGCTGCACAGGGGACCGGGGGGGCACCAGGCCACTGCTTTCTAGGCCAGCTTGTTTCAGCCAACCTCTGTCCCCAACAAGCAGGGAAAACATGGCAACCCGGTCAAAGCAGAGCCAGAAACAATGGGCAAAGCTGCAGGAAGCCTTGTTTGCGATACAAGGCTCTCAATGGTGTTAGTGCCCTGTGTTGGACATGGGTGCCACAATCTTAGCACAGCATGCCTGTGAGAGGATATACAACACCCAGGCACAGGCTACCAGGCTAAGTCTGGAACTTAAGCAGGCTCGAGCTGTGTCAGGATTTGGATGGGAGTCCAGTACAGACTACTTCATGCAACAAAGTGGGTAAGTGAATCACCAAGTGGCTCTCTCCCTGCCTATGCATGGAGAAGAGGGGCTAGTGCAGAGCACCTTCATTAGAGGAAGCCCATAGTGCCAATGAAAACCCACACTCATAGACTGGAAGGGACCTCAGAAGATCATCAGGTCCAGCCCCCCTGCACCAGGTAGGAAAGCAACTGGGGTCAGGTGACCCCAGCAAGATGACTGTCCAGTCTCCTCTTGAAGATTTCCAGGGTTGGCGATTGTACCACCTCTGGAGGGAGCCTATTCCACAGTCTGGACACCCTGACTGTGAAGAAGTTTTTCCTGATGATGAGCCTGAAATGGTCTTCCAAGTGTTTGTGGCCATTACTCCTGGTTTTCCCCAAGGCTGCCCTGGTGAACAGTTGTTCGCCAAGCCCTTGATGTATGTCCCAGATGGAGTGGTAAGCTGCTACCAAGTCCCCTCTCAGCCTTCCCTTTTTCAGCCTGGAGAGTCCCAGGTCCCTCAGCCTTTCCTCACATGGTTTGTCGCACAAGTCTCTGATCATAGGGGTAGCCCTTCTCTGGACTCTCTCAAGCTTTACCACATCCTTGTTAAAGTGCAGCGTCCAGAACTGGACACAGTACTCCAGCTGCGGTCTCACCAATACTGAGTAGAACAGAAGAATCACTTCCTTCGTTTTGCTGGAGATGCATCCATTGATGCATGCCAGAGTATTATTTGCCCTGCTAGTTACAGCATTGCACTGCTGGTTCATATGCATACTGTGGTCAATTATTACCCCCAGGTCCCTTTCAATCGTGGCGCTGGTCAGTTTGGCACTGCCAAGCCTGTAGGTGTGTAGAGGATTGTTTGTCCCCAGATGGAGAACTTTACATTTCTTGATGTTGAACTTCATATGGTTCTGGTTCGCCCAACTTGATAGCCTGTCTAGGTCCGCCTGTATCTATAGCCCAGCGGTCTCCAACCGTTTTATGGTGAAGATGATTTCTTGTAAGTGAAGTACACCCCAGGATCTACCACTCCCCCCTCCCCACCCCTCCCAGACAAGCTGCCCGGGCTCTGACCCCACTCACCCAGATTGTGGAGCCTCTGACAGACTGAGATCGACTGTCAGAAGCTCCACAATGGACTGGTTGGGTGACCACTACTGTAGCCTATCTTTAAGCGTGACTACACTTCCCCATAACTTGGTATCGTCTGTGAACTTGGCCAGTGAGCTCTTCACCCCCAAATAAAAAAATTGATAAAGATGTTAAAAAGCGCTGAACCAAGCACTGACCCCCAGGGCCATCCCTGGGGAGGAAGGGGGTGTGAATTGGGGTGACTGTCCTGGGCCCTGCGCTTTGGGG